CCCTTTAACTGAGAGCTAACTCTGAAGTCCAAAAAACCCTCTCCTGCCTCACGGGTCAAGTGACCTCCGGGTACCAGTCTTGGCTGCAGTGAGTGGAATGATCTAGACCTAACCTGTCTGCTCTCTTCCTTGGAGCACCCCTAGTGATGTGCAGGCAACAAGCTCTTGAAGATACTTGCTACCACGCTGTTAATTAGTCAGCAGAATATGAGGACAGAGTGTAAAGAAAGAGAAATTGGGGATGGGGGGAAAAGGCTCCAAGAACTGGAGCATATGCTCTTCTGGTAGGCCCAGGCCTGATTCCTGGCAGTGCAGGGTCCCGTGAGCACCTCTGGAGTTGGCTTCCAAGCACCTCTTGGTGTGCCCCTCCCACCCCCACATACACAAAAAATAGTAATAAAGGAATTAGGTAATTCCATCAGTTTCATCACTCAAACGGCAGAGGCTGGACCCGAAATCGGTGGCAACCACAGAAGACCGGCAAGACATGTGGTTTCACCCCAGTGACCAGGGACCCAAAGAAAATGGAGACCCAGGAGCGAGCAGAGGATGAAGCCTCACCTCTCTCCAAGTGGAAGACTGGTTTTCTAAACAACCTAACCTCCTGAGCCCGGAAATTCATGAGTGCTGGTCCTCAAGCATCCCTATACCACTTCAGTGACAGGTGTCACATTCCCTGGCTTCTGTTCCTATCAGCCTCCCCCCCCATCCCATCTCTCTGTCCAGAGAGAGCCTGGCAGGAGTGGTGAGCAATCCCAGGTGCTAGTGAGCACGGGGCTCTACACACACTCCAGGAGGAGCATGGCCCAGGCTCCGGACGTGCTGAAAGGAGGCCTGTGTCCTAGCAGATGGCAAAGGTACAGCGCCAAGAGCTCACATCTCCTGGGGTGGGAGCAGACTGAGGCACTGGAAGGCCGCATCACACCGTACCCTCACTGGGCCTGCAGATACCTCCCAGAGGCGACCCTGGATGGTACACACACTCACACACACACATACCCTGAGCTGAAAATACACATACACACACACACACACACCCTGAGCTGCAAACACACACACACACACACACCCTCTGAGCTGAAAATACACATACACACACGCACTGAGCTGGAAACACATACCAAACTGCACACACACACACACACACACACACACACACCCCCCTCTGAGCTGAAAACACACATACACACACGCACCGAGTTGGAAACACACACCGAGCTGGAAACACACACACACACACACACACACACACCCTTGAGCTGCAAACACACACGAGCTGGAAATATAGTACAGGACCCCACATGGTCCACAGAGCCCTGCCAGGAGAGATTCCTGAGCAGAGCTAGGAGTAAGCCCTGAGCACAGTTGGGTGCGACACCTAAGGAAATAAGGAAAACAGAACAAAACACGAGCTTCCGACTTCCCCACTGTGTCCAGATTCTAGGGAGTGTTTTTCATCATCAAGTTTTTCCTCGATCTAAAGGTTAGCTTTTGACTTTTAAAATTTTTTCACAAGCCAACAAAAGGTACTAAAAGTCCCTGGCACCTGGCCTCCTGCCTCCTGTGCCGGGCAGGTAAGTCTGCCCGGTCTGTGGCTGGGTTTTCTTACAACAGCTCAGCATGGAGGTAAAACCACCGGCGGCAGAAAACTGCCTAGGACCTGCCGGCCGCCACGGGTCTGAGTCCCCCGCGCCCCCAAGCTCATTCACAACAACACGAGCTCCGGGAGGAGCTGCCGATCATTTTAATCATCCAAGACCCGGCAGCGACAGGGCCCGGGACGAGCGCGTGGCCTCAGCTCCCCGAGCACGACGCCCGGCCAACTCCTAGCGCTTCCTGCGGCCGCTCCGAGGTGCACCGCGACAAGACGACCGAGTGACAATGGGCTTTCCCGGGCCGCGAGGCTGGGCGCCGGCCCGCCCACTTTGTCCCCGCACGCCCCGGACCCCGAGCGGCGAGGCTCGCGGCTGCTCCGACGCTCCGCGCCCCCAAAGTTCCGTGGAGCCCGCCCGGCTCGGAGCCACGCACGCGGGCGCGAGGCCAACACCACCCCCGGACCACGAAGTTCCACGACGTCCCGGGACACGCGCACGGGCGGCCCCGAGCAGGGGCGCGGCGGGGGGAGCGGTCCGCGGCGACGACCCCGGCCCAACTCAGCTTAGCTCGGCCGGGCCCGGCCCGGCCGGCGCCCCGCGCGCCCCGCCCCGCCCCGCCCCCACACGCCGCCCCGCCCCGCCCCGCGCCCACCGCGCCCACCGCGCCGCGCACCTGGCCGCAGCGGCTCGGTGACGGTGAGCACGAGCAGGAAGAGCAGCAGGAAGGCGCCGCTGTCTGCCTTGGGCACCATTTATCCTCCGTTCATCGTCCCCAGGGCGGCCGCGTGACCCCTCAGGGCGGCCGGAGCGGGCCGGGCGGAGCGCCGGGGGGGCGGCACCGGGCGCGGAGAGGCGGCGGGGAAGCGTCCCGGCTGCGCCGCGGCGGGGCTCGGGCCGCTGGCTCGGGCGCTCTCTCGGCCGCAGCCTCCGGCTCCGCGACTCCGGCTCGGCGCAAGATGGCGGCCGTCGTGCCCGGCTCTGCGCCCCGCCCCCCGCCCGCGACGCTGGCGCCGGCCGGAGAGCGCGGAGGCGAGGGGCAGGGCCTGCGCGCTCCCGGCCGCGCGCGGGCCATTGGCGGAGCAGGGGGCGGGGCCAGCCTGGGGCGGGGCCAGCGGGACTGCCTGCACGCCATTGGCTGGGCGGGGCGGGGGCGGGGCCGGGCCGCGGGACCCGCCGAGGGCCGAGGGTCCGCCTGGCGGGGTTCTGCTGGGGAGGGCGGCGGGCCGGGATGACGGACACAGAAAGGGGCGGAACGCAGAAGGCTCGCCCGCTTGGGCAATGGCGGGAGCGTGAAGAGCAGCAGGGGGAGTGTGCGGTGGGGCACCGAGGTGAGGCAGGGTCTCCTCCAGCCAAGCACACCTGTGGCCCCAGAGCGCGCGGCCAAGTGCAGCAGAAAAGCGACGACGCTGCCTGGAGGGAGCGCCCCGAACTGTTTGGAGGCGGCTCTGCGAGGGGGGGGAGGAGGCCCTGCAGAGGTGGCTTCACTGGCTCACCCAGCCGGAAAACTCCGTGAGGAAGCAGGATGCGCGGGAAACCAAGCCCCAGCCAGGCCCCTGAAGAAGGCGTACCTCATAGCCAGAATGGACAGTGGGCTCAGCTGCTGCCACGGCAGGCAGCGTGGGAGCAGAGCCACCGGGGACAGCAAGTGCTGACCTCGCAGCTTCCAAGAACCAGGTGACCCTGGGAGGGGAGAGAGAGCAAGTGGGGACCCTGGGCAGGACAGAGGAAGGACCACCAGCCAAGCACAAGGCCTGGCGCAAGGTATCAGAGCTGAGGGAGGGGCTGGAGAGAGGTGGAAAGGAGGGCTAAAGGGCCAAGTCATCCGGGCATGACTCAGTTCCAACCCCAGGCTCCCTCACCAGCAGCAGTTGTGCCACCATCCCGGACTCTGGCCGGCGATACTTGGGGTCATCGGAGAGGATATCCAAACCGGCCCAACCCAACCAGACTTGCCTGCCCCTTTCCAACCCTTGGGAAGTGGCTGGAGAAGGCATTAGACGGAGGGTCTGTCAAAGCAGAGGGCTCTTGTGCTAGAAGCTTTGGTCCCTGTCCAGTGCTGCCCTTACCATTTGCACCGTCCTCCAGGAACAGCTGCTGGCACTCAGTGGGTTCCCACCCAGCCTCCTGTGCCTTCACTCCAGCTCCCTGGGCACCAGGCCAGGACTAAGGCCTTATTCAAATCCCTGCCAGTTATTCCACCAGGCCTCCCCCCAAGAATCTGTGAGAAAAGCAGACACACCACCAAGGTTTCTGATGAGGGGAAAGGAGGGAAGTGGACAGCCCAGCCTGCCATGCTGGGAGCTGGCAGAGCCCAGGAGTCTCTCTCTACTTCTGTGCTCTTCCCCCCCCCCCCTTTCTGGTCTCTGTCCTGTGGCCCAAGGATGTCAGCATGCACATAATCAAGGGCAAACAATGCTGGAGGGGCAGGGAGAAGTCATCTATGTTCTTCCCAACACCCCTGGCCCCTGCTGAGGACACTGAGATGGCACTTTGGATGCCTCTTGGGTTCCAGGGATCAGCCCTCCCTTTTTCCTTCTTTTCGAATTTTGACCTATACTCAAAAAGATTGTTGGATTTTTTGTTTGTTGGGTTATACCCAGCAATGCTCAGGGGTTACTCCTGGTTCTGCACTCAGGAATCACTCCTGGCAGTGCTTGGGGGACCATGTGGGATGCAGGGATTGAACCCAGGTTGGCGACATGCAAGGCAAAGGCCTTCCCCACTGTACCATTGCTCCAACTCCAAGGTTGTTGTGGGGTTTCTTTGGATTTTTTTTTTAGGTTTGGAGCACATCCAGCTGTGCTCACAGAGATCACTCATGGTGATGCTTAGGGGACTGTATAGGTTTTCAAACCACGGATTCAAACCAGGGTCGGCCAGATGTCAGGTAGTCTTACCCCTTGTACAGTATCTCTGACCCATTCCTCCCTTCTTCCAGGTGTCAGCTGCTATCCCTGGAGGTCCCTAGACTAGTCTAACCCTTAGCATTAATTAAATCCTCTCTTGTCCTCACTTGAGAATGTATTGTTTTCTGCATCCCCCACAAACTCACCCTCACTACTTCTGGACCCCTTGGGCTACTGTCCATGGCCCACCACTTTCTGTTTGGGGGCCACATTTGACAGTGCAAAGGGGGTTATTCCTGGCTCTGTGCTCAGGAATTGCTCCTGGCAGTGTTTGGGCAACTATATGGAATGTCAGGGATCGAACTGGATCGGCTGCATGTAAAGCAAGTGCCTTATCTGCTGTACTATTAATCACTCCAGCCACTTCTTTTATTGGGGGTTTTGGGCCACATCCAGCTGTGCTCAGGGTTTACTCCTCACTTTGCACTCAAGGCTGGAGGTAAAACCACCGGTGGCAGAAAACTGCCAAGGACCTGCTGGCCGCCACTCTGGAGGTCTCAGAGGACTATAGGGGTGCTGGAGACTGAACCTGGGTTGGCTGCAAGCAAGGCAAATTCTTAACATGCTGTACTGTCTCTTGGACCCTGGCCTACCACTTCTCAAGCTGTCCTGAGTCTGGATTTGGAAGTAAGGGCAGACTAAAGTGTCCCCCTCAGTATGGCTCCCCCCCCCAACTCCTACCTCAGGTCCCAGTCAAGTGTGAAGCTGCTCTCTGCTTATTTTCAGTCTGCTACCTCCCCCTGGCCAGCCTTTGGGGATTCCAAGTTCAAGTGGCTGAAACCAAAGCCTCAATCCCCCAGAACCCTCCTTTGTGACTTCACCCACTGAAGTCACCTGGGAGATAATGCTCAATGTTCCAGCCCAGAGTCTTGGTCTCTGGAAAGCAGGGGCAACAGGCCCAGCCGACCCAGAAGACTCTCTGTCCAGACTGTAAATGGCCCATGTCCCGCAGGGATGTAGAGGGCTGTCTCAGAGGCACTGGGCTCTCCCGGCACCATGGATGACGCTGCCGTCCTCAAGCGACGAGGCTACATCGTGGGGATAAATTTGGGAGAGGGCTCGTACGCAAAAGTCAAATCCGCTTACTCTGAGCGCCTCAAGATCAACGTGGCGATCAAGATCATCGACCGCAAGAAAGCCCCCGCAGACTTCTTGGAGAAATTCCTTCCCCGGGAAATTGAGATTCTGGCCATGCTAAACCACAGCTCCATCATCAAGACCTATGAGATCTTCGAGACGTCTGATGGCAAGGTCTACATCGTCATGGAGCTCGGCGTCCAGGGTGACCTCCTCGAGTTCATCAAGACCCGGGGAGCCCTGCATGAAGATGATGCTCGCAAGAAGTTCCACCAGCTCTCCTCAGCCATCAAGTACTGCCATGACCTGGATGTCGTCCACCGAGACCTCAAGTGTGAGAACCTTCTCCTTGACAAGGACTTCAATATCAAGCTGTCCGACTTCGGCTTCTCCAAGCGCTGCCTGCGGGATGACAGTGGCCGACTGACACTGAGCAAGACCTTCTGCGGGTCGGCGGCCTATGCGGCCCCCGAGGTGCTGCAGGGCATCCCCTACCAGCCCAAGGTGTACGACATCTGGAGCCTGGGCGTGATTCTCTACATCATGGTCTGCGGCTCCATGCCCTACGATGACTCCAACATTAAGAAGATGCTGCGCATCCAGAAGGAGCACCGTGTCAATTTCCCCCGCTCCAAGCACCTGACGGGTGAGTGCAAGGACCTCATTTACCGCATGCTACAGCCCGATGTCAACCGGCGGCTGCAAATCGACGAGATTCTCAGCCACTGCTGGGTGCAGCCAAAGACACAGGGCCTGTCCTCTGCAAACAACAAGGAGGGAGAGACCTCCCGAGGTATTGAATCCTCATGGGCTGCTGAACAACTCAGCTCTAAAAAGGAATCTGCTGCCAAGCTAGAGACCGCGGAAGAGATAAAGCCCGAGGCACTTTCTGAAACCAAAGCCCAAGAGTCTTCGCCGGTGCAATTAGCAAGGCAGACAGATGTCTTAAGTCCTACTACTGCTGACCAGCAGGAGTCAGAGGAAGGGGCCATTCCCGTGCTGCCCTCAGAGACACACTCCTAGTGAGCCTCTCTCGGCCCAGGGGGCCAGCAGGCAATCAAAAAGAGCTCATGGCTTCCAGCTGGAGCTTCAGAGCCGCCATGGGGCCATCCAGAAAAGGCAGGCAGTCTAGGATGAGCCATATTTTCGTCAGTTTTCTCTTCTCCCGGTGAGCTGGGTAACCCACATGGCTAAAGCAGCAATAAATCACTATATTGATGTAGTCTCAAGGTAAATGGCCTTTGCCCTGGCTGGCTGCCTATGCTCCTGCGTCCATGGAAAGGGAACCTTTGCACTGCCAACCCCCGCTCCGCCCCCCCCCCCCAACACACACACCAGAGGGACCCTAGGGATCTGGGATGGAGGGCGTGGACCGGATGAGGCAGGCCCAAAAAGGATGGCTGCCTGCATAAAGAGTGGGGATCCCTCCCTCTGCCTTGGGGCTGCGACGGGCTCAGGGTACCTCCACACCTGCAGCGTCACTGTGATGGGGGGGAGGGTGCAGATCTGCAAAAGGGCACATGAACCCACCTCTCATGCCCCCTCAAGCTCCCACATGGGGAGCAAGTTGTTTACTCGGCTCCACTCAGGACTTGCCCGTGTTCAACCAGCACCCGCTCCATGGCATTCAGCGGGATGATGGTCATTCCCTGGCCTAGAGGACCTGGTACTCCACAGGGTATGGGACTCAGCTCTAGCCTGCATGTGTCCCCATTACTGTATGACCTCGGCCACATCCCATTCCCAGGGAGTCCTGATCTGCGCCTGGGGGTAACATTCCCTGTCGGGGTGGAAGAACTGACCCAGTCGAGTAGAGGTGACCCTTGCAGTGCAGGTCCATTTCACAGGGACACTGGCATGGGGCAAAGAGCTGGCAGCACGGGCCAGTCCTCACCTCTACTGTGGCACCTCTCTGCCTGTTCCATTCTCTGCTGTGCCTCTTGGAGACCTCGGGCTGCACACAGAGGAGAGGACAAGTCTGTAGGGCCCAACTTCCTGCCCAGGGAGCAGAAGACCCCAAACCTCAGCGCCCTGGGAGCAGTGCTGCCCTGTACCCTGCCAGCTCTCCCACCACCACCACGCTGCCTTCTCAGCCCTCCCATCGCCTCCTCCAGAGCCCTGCCCCATACTGTGGCCTCCGAGCTCCTGGGAAGAATCCCAGTGTCTGGCCTTTTGGTTTTGGAGACCAACCCAGTGGTGCTTGTGTGGACAAGGATTGAACCCAAGGTTCCCCCATGCAAAATGTGCACTCCAGACTTCAGAGCCATCTCCCCAGCCTAGTGCCTGGCGTTTCCACCCGTCTGGCTCCTTCTTACCCCAGCTCTGGAGTCTGCTGTGACTCTCGCCTGTGGCTATGTCCCTGCACTTCTGGCCCATCCCTCTAGGTCCAGATGAGGGGCCTTCAGAGAGTCGACGGTGGGCCCCTCATGGCACTTGGTAGTCTGTCGCAAGCACCAAAGTGAGCCTGTGAGTACACAGAACAGGCTCTGCGTCAGTTGGGGACCTACCAACTTCTCCAGTGGGCTGAAGCTCCCGAGGAGTTGAAGACTGACTGACTTCCCCGCCTTGATTCATTCTCACAGGGGCAGGACCACAGGTGTCTAGGAGCTGCTCACTGCTGGCCAGGCCAGGCCGGGGGAGCATGGGGTGTACTTGAAAGGGGGACAGACAACTCAGAGAAGGGGGTGATGCAGGTGATGTCCACCAGATGGTCTGGTGAGCTGGTTATCTTATAAACTGTAACATTTGGGGCAAGACCTTGGCTCCAGTCATTGCTGTTTCCCAGGTGGTATTGGGCTCCAGGCCCTCTGTGGGACCTGCCTGGCCCACAATACTCTGTGTGTGTTTACCCTACCCCCACCCCCACCACATGTGGCTGACTCCTCACCTGACAGCCTGCCCTGCCTCCCAGGGCCTGCCTCACGGTTCTTCCTCCAGTAACACAGGGCACAGCTACCCCTTGGAACCCTAGAGTTTGAGAAGGATGGCAGAAAAATGCAGGGGGCCCATGCTCTGGAGTCCAGCCCCTTTTCAGTAGTGACATCGCAGTCACTTTGACCAAGAGAGCTCCAGGAGCAAGGCCAGTCAGGCTCAAGTATTAACAAGGAGCCTCCAGCTAGAAGCAGGTTTGTGGGGTGCAGCGGCCCCAGGGCCCGCTCTGTGGATGCACCCTGCTGGGCCACCTCCCTCCAGGCCACTGCAGAGACTAAGAGAAGGTATATCCCAGTGTGTCAAGTGACATCTCTGCCATATGACATCTTCCTGGTGTCACTATGGGGGAGCCTGCATACTTCCCTGGCTTCACCTCCCTGGCCATCAACCTGGAACTGGGCCTCCCTCCCTCAGCCTTCACCCCAGAGCACAGCAAGAATCTTTGACCAACAGCAGGTTCCCAGGGAGTTCTGAGCAGACAGAGGCTGCTGAGTCCCCATACAAGGGGCCTGGAATGGAGTTTTCACCTTTCCAAGTACTAAAGAGAATCTAAGAGAGGCCAACAAGGTGTTGGTCCTGGGTTCCAACAGGCTGGTCCAGGCCACAAAGACCCAGAGTAAAAGAACTCCTCCTTCTCACCACCCAGATTCTGCCTGTAATCACAAGGGTTCAGAGTGCAGCCCATCCACCAGGACCCTAGTACCAGGGTTCGGCCTGGGTCCCGGTCTACTTGCTACTCCAGTCACTGTACCCTGTGTCTCCTGCTGCTGCTGGTCCCAGTCCAGTTGCCAGGCCAAATGCACAGGCCACTGCTCACCCTGAAGCCATCAGGCATCAGGCATTAGGCATCGTCCTTTGGGGGGAGGGGGGCAGGGAACCCAGTGATACCAGGGGCTATACCCAACTCAGGGGACTTTGCAGTGTTGGACATCAACCCCAGAGCTCTCTCTGCAGCTTATGCAGCGACCCCATCAAAATGAGCCACTACCTGTGGCTCTGCCCTGGATCCTGCCCTGACTGTCCCCCACTCCCTCCTGACCGGAACAAGGCCATTCTCGGAACCAATCAGGCTGTCCTCCTTGGAACACACATCTGCCCACCTGTCCAGACCCAGGCCCCCCCAACACCCGTAGCATTGCTGGCCCACGTGCCTGGCGACCCAGCTCACTAGTGCCTGGCCTGCCCCCCCACACTCCCAGCCCAGCCTGACTAGACCAGGGCAGTTCCTCTTAGGCCTCACAGGGTCCAAGCCCTAGAGGGAGGGGTGTCATCATGCCTCAAGGAGCTGCAAGACTGGACCTCCTGGAACCAAGACCAATGCAGGGCCAGTCCTCACTGCCAGGGAATGAACCTGGGAAACACTGATGGGAGCTGAGCAAACCCCCGACCACCCCGGGGCTTGCCCTGAGATGGGGAAATCACTGTGAGCAGAAGCAGCGGTGGGGGGAGGGGGAAGTTACCAGAGTCCTGGGCTGCTTCCTTCTTGTGGAGGGGGTGCAGGCACTCCTGCCAGGCCAGCCTGGCTCCCAGGGTTCTAGGGCCCTGTCCCCCCAGCCCAGTCCCCACTCCCAGCAGCCCGGCTTTATGACTTCATATGCTGAAGTCACGCAGGGACAATGCTGAGCGTTCCACCCCTCTGAGCCCGGGCCCAGCCAGGCACACCGCTCCCTACAGTGCACATGAGGACGATGCCCACTGGCACCTGTGGGGAGGGGATGTAGAAGGCGGCGGCGCCGGCCGCTCCTGGCACCATGGACGATGCCGCGGTCTTAAGGAAGAAGGGTTACATCGTGGGCATCAATCTTGGCAAGGGCTCCTATGCAAAAGTCAAATCTGCCTACTCCGAGCGCCTCAAGTTCAATGTGGCCGTCAAGATCATCGACCGCAAGAAAACGCCCACCGACTTTGTGGAGAGATTCCTTCCTCGGGAGATGGACATCCTGGCCACAGTGAACCACCGCTCCATCATCAAGACCTACGAGATCTTTGAGACGTCCGACGGGCGCATCTACATTGTCATGGAGCTGGGCGTCCAGGGTGACCTCCTCGAGTTCATCAAGTGCCGAGGGGCTCTGCATGAGGATGTGGCTCGCAAGATGTTCCGCCAGCTCTCTTCGGCCGTCAAGTACTGCCATGACCTGGATGTCGTCCACCGAGACCTCAAGTGTGAGAACCTTCTCCTTGACAAGGACTTCAATATCAAGCTGTCCGACTTCGGCTTCTCCAAGCGCTGCCTGCGGGACGGTACCGGGCGCATCATCCTCAGCAAGACCTTCTGCGGGTCAGCGGCCTACGCAGCCCCCGAGGTGCTGCAGGGCATCCCCTACCAGCCCAAGGTGTACGACATCTGGAGCCTGGGCGTGATTCTCTACATCATGGTCTGCGGCTCCATGCCCTACGACGACTCCGACATCAAGAAGATGCTGCGCATCCAGAAGGAGCACCGTGTGGACTTCCCCCGCTCCAAGAACCTGACAGGCGAGTGCAAGGACCTCATCTATCGCATCCTGCAGCCTGACGTCAACCGGCGGCTGCACATTGATGAGATCCTCAGTCACTCGTGGCTGCAGCTCCCGAAGCCCAAAGCTATGTCTTCCTCCTCCTTCAAGAGGGAGGGAGAGGGCAAATACCGAGCGGAGTGCAAACTGGATGCCCGGCCGGGTGCCAGGCCCGAGCACAGGCCTGAGCACCGGCCCGAGCACCGGCCTGATCACCGGCCTGAGCACCGGCCCGATCACCGGCCTGAGCACCGACCTGACCACAAGCTGGGGGCCAAAACCCAGCACCGGCTGCTGGTGATGCCCGAGAATGATGACAGGATGGAGGACCGGCTGGCCGAGACCTCCAGAACCAAAGACCATCATCACACCCCTGGAGCTGAGGCGGGGAAAGCGAGCACCTAGCATGTCAAGGGCCCTGGGCGCAGCGCACTGCTGCGCCCACATAAACGAAGTAGGCAAATAGGAGCTGAAGAAGGCACAGGTGCAAGGAACAAGTAAAATCCGTCAATTAAACCGCTATTTTGATTACGTTCTATTAGCTTTCTTCCACTTCGTAGCAAAGACGATCTTACTGACCACCAAATAAACCACAAAGTGAATACAAGCATCGAGAGTGCCCCCTGCGGAGTCTTTTTCTCTAGGACTCAGCCACCTGCCCTCCCTGCGACGTGGGGCCCCAGCCTAGGCTGACTCACAGTGAGGTCAGGTGGGCAACGGAGGACCATGGCTGAGGGCCCCTCACCTCTGGACTTGCCCCAGGCCTAGCACCCCAGGGCCTGCCAGGTGCCCACGGCTCACCTCCAGGGCAGTGCCTCTCCTCGGCCCTCCCACTCAGCAGATGGTCCCTTCTAAGATCCTCTTTGACCTCCATTTCCATAACTGGTACCTGTGTCTTCAACCCGCTCCCGTGAGGCTGCACCCACCAGCCCTTCCTTTCTCTCCGAACAGCAAACCTGCCCCCTTTCTCCTCCTGATCTGTCACTGGGGAACACATCGCCCCTGACTCTCGCCAGTACTGGGCCTTAGGAGGCTTGACCATACCTCATTCACACCCTTCTCAACCTGGCTCCCCACTTCGTGAGGAATTCCCTTGGCCCCCAAGTCCACCTTTCTCTACCAGAGAAAAGCACCTCGAAAGTGACCTCTCCTAACTGGGCAGTCCATCCCTGGGTCCACGTTCACTTGCCAACCCAGAAGTTGGCTGGAACATAGGTCATGGGGCCCAGGCAGGTGGCAGGTGCGATGCAATAGTGCAGGCCCTCAGACCCAGCCAGGAGAGGGCCGCGCTCCGGCCAGGCTGCTCCCAGCTCTGAGGACTGAGCCTCTGAGCAGGCTGGGCAGTGAGTACAAGCTTTGGCGGGACATAGCACAACCCACTGAGGTCTGGAGACCCTTGAGGGAGCCAGCAGCACCCCAAGAATGGGGCCCTTATCTGTGAATCAGATGGCTCAGTGAGCCTGCAAGTGGACACTAGGTTCTCAGCCCCAGACAAGTGCTGGCCGGCTGCTTGATGCCAGCAACAGCTTTCGACATGGTGTCCAGGGAGCTGTCATGTGGGGGCACCTGCTGGTGGAAGTGACATGGGGGAGCGGGTGGGGGTGAGACTCAGCAGCTTAAGGCAGGCTGGGCCTGGGGCAGAGGCAAGTGAGGGGCAGGTCGACACAGTGCTCCCCACCACAGCAGGCAGCAGGGCCTGGAGCAACAGTGGGGCCAGGGGAAGGACTGGTGGGGCCAACTGCCCTGCCACCGGGAGACCTGCAGTCCAGGCTGGTGTGTGGAGCTGCAGCCCAAGCCACCACGGGGCAGAAAGGCAGGGAGAAGCTCGGGCACTCCAGCTGTGTGTGGGAGAGGCTGTGCCTCCAGCTCAGACCTGAGTTTTGGGCCCCAGGGGCGGCCCCATGACTAAGGTGACAGGAAGGGTCCCCCACCCAGCTGTCTCCCTGGGCCCGGTTCTCCTGACCCTGAGGCGCCGTCCAGCGGGCAGCAGGAGAGATGGACAGCCCCACCAGACTGCCCCAGGTGGCCTTTAATGAGGGACTCACAGGAAAGTCTCTGCAAGGCCCGGCGAGGCGCCCGAGGCCTGGTGTGTCGGGTGCCAGACCGCGGCACAGCACCTTCCCAGAGCCCTCGTGAGAGTCAATGCTTTGGGACTGGGCCTGGGTCCCCCGAAGGCCAGAGTCCTCTGCTGGGTGGCTGCCCGCCCCGCAGGCTCCACGCCAATTCCATTTGCCCAGCTTGAGCTGGGTCCTAGAAGAAGTCCGAGGCTTTGCGCCGTGCTGGGAGCTGCAGCAAGTTGTCCGTGATAGAGGCCGGGTCCTGGCTGAGCGGGGTTCGAGCAGCCGAGCCAGGAGCGGGTGTGCTTGTGGGCGTCTGGGGCCCACTGGCTGGGGTCTTGAGGTGGGTGGAGCGAGCTGGAGACGGGGTGTAGCTGGCCCGCAGGGCCCGGTCTGTGTACTTGCTGGCTGTCCTGCTCACGAGGCGCTGCAGAGCTGGGGACATAGCCGGGCTCAGGCCTTTGGGGGTGAGGCTGGTAAGAAATGCAGGAGTAGGTTAGATCAGGGAAGAGGGAGAGGAGACGGTGGCTCTTTGGGGCTCAGGACCCTGCAGAGCACGAGCCCACTGCAGCAAGCCCAACCATGAGGGCGAGTGATGGAGTTGCCCACTATCTCCAGTGGGGGTTGAGGAACCGTGTTCCTAGGGCACGCCAGAGCTGCTGACGGCACAAGGGGCACACGATGAGCCTCCAAGGAATGAGCCCAACAGAAGAGGGAGAAGGAACACAGAATAGCCCTGTGTCCTCACATGGGACATACACCAGGCCCAATGCACTTGAACCCTGGGGCTGGCCGGAATCTGCCCTGCAGATTGGCGAGAGACCCACCTGGCCAGGTTCTCCGTGACTCTCCGAAGAGCCTCCTGCTTCTTAGCCCGGTTCTTGGCAGCAGCCTCGTTGGCCATCTTCAACCCCAGCCGCTCCCTGCGTCCCGGCTCCAGGATCTATAAGGCAGCAGGCATAGGTGGTTGTGACCTGGCCAGCAGCCCCCTTGCTCTTTGAGGTGTCCACCTCTGCCGGCCCCGAGAGTTCCTCAGAGCCCCCAACCTGCATGCTGGGGCTGCACCCCAACACACAAGCTCTATGCCCCCCACTAACCAGTCTCACCAACAAACTGGAGCCTCCAGTGGGGACCCAGCTGCCCACAGGTCACACTACCTCTGGAGAGCACCTGCCACCCAGCTGCCCGGCCTGCCCGACCCTGCCTACAAAGAGGCTGGGCGGAACTGCCCCTGGGGTCCCCAAGCCCTGCTCTGCAGACAGAACACACAGCGCCCTCCACACCCACAGCCAGGCCGAGGGGGCCCTGGCACCTGCCTCGGTGGCCTGCTCACCCCTCTCTAATGCTCCTTGCTGTACTCGGCTCCACTCCCCAACCTGTTGTCCTACCCGGGCCCCAACACATGATGTGCCTGCAGCTCTCCTGCCGGAGACCCTGCAAGGGCTCTGGCTGTGCCTCCCTCTGGCCCCACTGTGCACCGTCACCTCAACCTACCTTGAAGGCCGGCCCTGGTGTCCTGTCCACGTAGGGCGTGTCCGACCCTTCCACCCTCAAGGGGGTGTTCTCCACCTCACCCCAGGTCATCAGTGGGGACTCGCTGACCCCTGCAGAGAGAGAGTGCCCTCCTTAGTCATGCTGAGCGGCCCAGCTAACAAACACCGAGGCAGGCAGGCACAGAGAACTGCAGCTCAGGGCACCTGGCCGAGGGGCAGATGGTTCTTCTGAGGGCTAGGCTGGGGTGCCACTGAGCACACCCCCCCTCAGGGGCCCCAGGACTCCCACACTGCCCAGGACACTAGGCAAATTCGAGGTGCCTCCATATGCCCTGGCCTGTGTCACAGCAAACAGCACCCCAAAGTGCAGTTGCCAGTATGCGGAAGGAGAGGAACCCCGTGAGCACTCACATCTCACACCCCAATCTATGAAGAGCGGCAAGGCTGGGTCCAGACTCCCTTCTGGCAGCACGGGGCCAGAATGGGAGCACGCTAGGACTGACGGGACATCTAGCCCAACCGCAGCTGCAGTCACCTGGAGGAGGACACACGGCCCGAGAACCCCTCAGGACTAGCCCCTCATGGCGCCAGGTGCCTGTGCCCCTGCAAACTGGGTGAGTCTGGTGCATCTCCCACCTGGCAGCCCTCTAGCCCTCACTGCCCTTACCACTCTGCAGGCCCCACCTGCTCCCATGCTTCAGCCCTCAAGGCGGCCAGTCTGTCCAGCAGGAGCCCAGCACCCCTGGTTTGTCTATCCTGCTAGGTTTAGGGTGAGCCCTGGAAACTACCGCATTGCAGAGAGCAGATCCCACACATCAGATCAGGTCTGCTGGAGTCCAGCTGCACAAAGGCTGGAGCCGCCATCCTCTGCTCAGTTGGGAGCACAAGTCCCAGAGTCCCATGAGCAGGAAATAGCAGTGGGGAAGCGTCAGCAGTGGCAGGGCGGAGAGACAGCCCCGTTGGGGGGATGGGCGGTGCTGACTTCACAAGGGTTTGTTTCTCACCAGGAGCTGGAGAAGGGGTGGCAACAAATCCAAATCCACCCACTCGGGGGGATTCCTGAGGGATCAGCTCCTTGCCATCGGGACCCACCTTGCCCTGTTTGTGCTGGAACAAGCAGAGAGAGGTTAGTGTGGGGGAGGAGTGTGCTCTCTGGCCAACAGATGGCTATGGTACTCACACACTTGTGCTCACACACACAAAGACACACGCACGCGCACATATGCGCCCACACAAACACACATACACACATACACACACACCCCACTTCCCTGTGGACAGAGCTGTAGAAACAGCCCACAGGGAAAGAGCAGGGAGGATCTTACCCGCGCAGAGCCCAAAGCACCTGTCAGAACAAGCCTGCTAGCCAGACAAGCACTTCCTGCCATCCAGGGAAGAGCTTCCTGCCCTTCAGGGCAGCGCAGAGGCCCTCAGCTTGGGGCGCACATGGGCTACTTTTGGGTGCTCCTGACTTCAGGTTCTTGAGCGGGACTAAGCTGACCCGGGAGCCAGTGCCTGCCTGCTCCCATCCCTCCACCCCATGAGTGTAGAGCTACCGCCATACAGAACCATCCTCCTGCTCCCCGACTCTCAGTCTCTGCCCTCACGGGTGTGGGAATGGCAAGGTCGGGGCAGGGTGGAAGGGAAAGGAAAGTGCTGGGGATGCAGCCCAGGTCTCGGGCTCTGAGGCCTATGCCCTTCCACTGAGTCACACCCTCAGCCCCAAGGGTGCTGCTGGTATAGATCTGAGCCCCCAGGGTGAGCCTGATCAAGAAGGTGCCCACGAGAGCCACGTGGACTAAGACTTAAGACACTGGCAGTCCCCACAGGTCCCAATGAAGAGGAGCACCCAATAGGACCAAAGCGATACTATAGTGGGCAAGACACCTGCCTTGCACGTGGCTGACTAGGGTTTGCTCCCTGGCACCCTATGCCATCCCGAGCTTCACTAGGACTGAACCCGGAACACAGAGTCAGGAAAAAGTCCTGAGCAAACCAAGGTGTTACCCTCAAAAAAAAAAAAGAAGAAAAGAAAAAAGAGCCAACCCTCGAACAAAGAGGCAGCCAAGACTTCCTGCATCCAGCTTGCCCCTGCCGCCCCTGCCACTCACCTGCGCATTGAGGGCAGCGGCCTGCTGCAGCTGGGACCTGCTCAGGGCTTGGCTGAAGGGGTCCCTGAGGAAGCGGGTGTTTTTATGCACCACTTGTCGAGGCTTCTTGAACAGCTGCTCTTCGTCAGGGACACCTGTGCAACCGTGCAGAGACAGCAGTTGGTATCGGGGTGGGGTGGCAGGGAAATGCAGGACCAAGGGCAGGCATGACAGAACTGGGGACAGCTGAAGGGCTCCACTCCTTTCTGACTCCACACAGAGAACCACCCCACTCCAGAGCCTGAGGGCCTGGCTAGAAAGAAACAACCCACCCCCAGCCCCGGGGTCCCTGCCTCTGGCCCACTCACCCTCTGGGTAGTACATGAGGGAGTTCTTGGCCTTGTACTTCCAGGTCTCCACACCCGCCTGGCTGCTCTCAATGGCCTGGTGCTCTGCTGACGGGAGGGCAAGGTTATCTTTCTGCCTCTGTGTCACAGCGGGGAGAGAGAGGGTCAGAGCAGCGGAACCCAGGGTCCCCCCCCCCCCACAGCGTGGGCTGCGCCCCACCAACAACCAGAGCCCACACCACCACACCCCACAACACCTTCTCAAACTCCTCCTCAGCCTGGTAGAGCCAGGCATGGCGTGCCCGGCTCTTCTCCTTGGCCACTTCCATGATCTCCTGGAAGGAGGCGTTGTCCTCGCTCGTGTAACGGCTCAGGAAGACATCGAGGCTGGGCAGAGGCTCCTTCTCCTCCTCCTCCTCCTCAGCCGTCTCTCCTGCTCAAGGGGCGACACAGACCAGGACCTGAGTCCATACCTCCTTGGAGTCGCAATCCCGACCAGCAGGATGCCCACACTGTTCTCCTGGGCATGTCCTGAGAGCCCACATGGGCACACAACACCCCGCCTGGACAGAACCAACCATCCCAGCTGCCCAGAGAAGCTGGGGGATGCGTGGGGCCAGATTCAGACCAGAAGAGGGGGTGACCACAGTAGGGCTCCCCCACCTTAATAGTGCTGTCCAAGAGTCCCTCCTGCACAGTCTCCACACCGAGGCTTCCCTTCCTGACCTGCCGGCAGAACCACTGCCCAGCCACCACTGAAAGCAGCGCCCTGGGGAGGCGGTGCCATCATAGACACTCATCAAGGACACTAAGACAAGCCCTCTGTGTCCCTCCAGTAACAGTCTCCAAACATACAACCACTCCTGCGTGCAAAGTTCAAGTCCTGGTGTTGGAGGAGTGGGAAAGATGAGGCGTCATGCCTCATTCCGTTGCCACGAGATTACACAAATACGGCTGAAGGGGGAGTTCAGCAGGCAGGGTCCTTGCTTGCCTTGCACATAGCGGACCCAGGTTTAATCCCCAGTATCCCATATGGTCCCTCAAGCACTGCCAGGAACAATTCCTGAGCACAGAGTCAGGAGTAATCCTGAGTCCCACATGGTGTGGCTGCTCCAGAACAAACAAAACCAACCAAAAAACAAGACTGCAAGAAAGACACGTCCCTAGCTCGGTCTCTAGCCTGAGACTATGACTGGCAGTGGTTCCCTGCCACTTAGGCTACTTATCTGTTTTGTTTTGGGGCCACGCTCGGTAGTGCTCTGGGGCCGCATCTGGCAGTGCTCCTGGGACTGTGTGAGATGCTGGGATTTGAACTTGTGTTATGGTCACAGGCAGATGCTAAGCCAACTGCCTTAACTGGATTATTTCTCTAAAGTTACATAAATGAATTTTCTGAATATAGGTAAGGGAGGGCGTATTTCAAGAAAACAACCTGAACGCTGCCTCAGGATTCACTGCAATGGAGAACCAAACTTCACAAACATGACCGTTTGGAGAAGGGTTTTGAAACAGAACATGTCACATTTGTGGGAGCACAACAGCACGCAGCAGACTGGAATGGAACAGAGAGGAGCGCACTGTCCACCTGTTCATGTGTTGACAGAAGTCCTGACTGTGAGGAAATGCTGTGACACGTGGAACACTCATGCACAACAAGATTCATGACTCAAGGCTTCTCCTGGAACCACTCCCTGTAAAGCTGAGAGGTTATCAGGGACTCCTCCCCAATGTGCTGAAGACAATGTTATTCAACTCTCCACATGTTTGCGGAAGACCCACAGCACATCATGTGCTGCTCTAGAAAAGGTCACTGATAGGAACGAAAAAAGAACGTGCACTCAAGGGTTTGGAGCAATAGTACAGTGGGGAGGGCACTTGCCTTGTCTGTGGCCGACCGAGGTTCAACCCCCAGCAGCCCTTATGGTCCCCTGAGCATCACCAAGAGTGATCCCTGAGTGCAGAGTCAGGAGTAACCCCCGATTATCAATAGGTATGACCCAAAAAACAAACAAACGAAAAAAGAACCAGCACTCAGCCTGAGGCAACTGCACGCAGAAATGGTTCTATGAGATCAGTCCTGTAATGAACAAACCAAACCAGGCAGGAGGGGACAGCGTCCTCGAGGGGCTGCGACTTCACCCTGGGAGGCATGGAGAGGGTTCCCTAGCTGGATGATGACTGAGCAGACATGAAGGGAGAGGCATGAGCTGCGTAGTTACCTAGGGAATGGAGCCAACTCAGAAGACACTGGTGTAGAGGCCTGAGCCATCTTAAGGAGGAGACCTTAAGGACAGGAGGACCCACTGAGGCCCAGGAAACTCTGGATGGTGACTGGCAGTGAGCAGTCCGGTGAAAGCCAGCCACACTGATGCTCCATGGGAGGGCTCAGAGGATCACTCCACCTTGAGAAGCCAGACCCAGATCTCTCACTCCCTACACCAGGCCGCTCTGACCCCACAGGCTGCCAATCAAACTAAGAGATTATCTGCTCTGGACCACTCCTCTAGGGTCTCACAGAGGGGACTCACAGGCAATCTAACCTTTAACAGAAAGTGGGCCCTTACCGTCACCATCCTCCAGGCCTCGCCCGCGGGGCCGGGATTTGGCACCCACCACTCCGGGGCCCGTGTGCACCTCTGGGGTTTCGAATGTGGCTGGAGTCACGTCTGGAGGTAGAAGAGGGGATGAAAATGAGCGTGAGCCTAAGACAGGAGCTTAGCAGATGCTCGCTCTTCCTGCAACCCGGAGGAATGGGAGGAGGGGGAGGAGAATTCTCTTACAAGGAGGAGGGGGCTCTCGGGATATCTTGCCCAGCGCAGAGCCAAATTTGATGGCGATCTGGCGCATCCGCTCCAAGTCTCCATTCTCCTCAGCCTCCAGGTACTCCTTCTGTGCCTGCAGCTTCTCCACGTCAGGAAAGAAGTCCCTCTGGATAACAGTCTGGAGGCCCTGCAGAGAGAACAGACAGAGCTGCCACCTGAAGAGTTGATATCTACCGCCACTGACTCACCTACTAAGATGCTTGCCGAACACCTCCCCAAACGACATTCCTGGCTAGCAGCACTTTCTTACAAGGAATCCCAGCAGCCTTGCTGCAACACGGCTTGTGACTACAATCCTCCTGACTCCCAGGAAACTTCTCAGTAACAGGTCATTGACCTTTGCTGACTCTGCTGGCACACCCACAGGACCAATATTGATGTTGACATCTTCTGCCCCCCATGCCCGAACCCATTTCTAGGGCGATTCGGTCTCCACTCACCACCACCAGCACTATTTTAGATCCCCAAGTCTGCCGCTCCAGCTGGACGGGCCTCGCCGCTGAGCAGCGCGTGGAGTGCATCAGCTGCCCACAATGCAGCATCTGCCTGCACGTCCCAGAAGCGTTCCTCCAATTTCCCTGCCAACTCTTTCTTGCCAGTAAATCGAAATCTACCACAAGGGTCCTCGGAGGCCTGCCCGTTTACCCGACGATGCTGCCGCCCTTGTACTGCCGGATATCACTTTCTAGAGAGTTCTCCCTAGCCCACATTCTTCCAGTCGGTCAGAACCTTACTCACTGCTCCCTATCTCGACTTCCTGAGTCCCAACACAGACACACCTGTCCCGTCTCTTCCTGGCGAGGGCTTCCTCCATCAAGGACACTTCCGTCACCACGGGGGTTGTCTGCCTCTCCGACTGGGCCCACTACTGGGGCAGGAACCCCGCGCGATAACGGCACCGCCGCCACCCAGGACGAGGGCGCTGAACGGAGAGGCGGCAGCGGCGGGGGGCGGTAGTGACTGGCGCGTTGCAGCCAGGTCTTACCTCGATGTATTCTTCCTCGTCTAGAACGCGCTGTTTGCCCGTCGTAGCCCCTGCCTCCTCCGCCGCACGCTTCCTCCGCGGCCCCGACGCGGCGGAGAGCAACAACGCCCGGGCCGAAGCGCCGGGCGTCTCCATCACTATCCCAGAACCACGTCGGCGACCCAAACACGTCACAGGGTCGGAGCGGGGCGGGGGCGGGGAAGCGGACTGCGCAGGCGCCTTAAGTAGCCGACCAATAGGGAAGCCGTGCGTTCCTGCGGTCAGCCCGCGCTCAGTGATGACGTCAACAAATCCCGCCCCTTGCGGGGAGTTGGTAGTCTTTGCCCAGCGCAGAGCACGCATACTTGAAGTTATGAACGCCAGGGGGCGATGTGGTGCTGGTGGTGGGCGTGTCGTTAAAGCTAATTGTGAAACATTCCATCACTTAAGAATGGAAAGATCTCAGAATTCCAATTTCTTGGGAATAATCGCTGTATGTTTCCATATTATCAACAAGAACCCATCCTTCACAACATTTTCTGAATACGTATCTTAAAGCACTAAATTTTCTGTATAGGCGTTTTAAAGTGTTTACTCAAATTTTATACAACCCCACGGCAATTCTTTTTTTGATAGTTATAAAATAAAATAACACAGTTCAATACGAAACGTCTGGTTAAAAAGTACTGGGTCCTTGAATGCCAGAATGAGTTTCCCAGAAAGGGTTGTCACTGAAGGGATCAATCGCCTAAGCATTTTCCCCCAGAAAGGATCATTTGTTTCCAAATAAGGGCTGTGAATTCCATTCAAACAAGTATGTTAAACCCCAAATTCTTTGTATTTGTAGTTCATTCCCTGGGGAGTCCCTGGTGGTATCTCTTCTCCCACTATCAGATGGAGAAGGCTGACCTGGATCAGATCACCCACAAACAGGTGTGCAATTGCAGCTGACAGATGCAAGAAAGAGTTTGTCCACGGGGACTCTAACCCAGGAGGCAGTCCAGGGAGGTTTCCCTGATCTGAAGTGGTTGCAAATCCACAGGTGAACAGGCATAAGTGTAGTGCTGTGGCAGAGCATGAAGGAAGGCCCAGCATCAGGATGAACACGACTAAGAAGTTTCAGGAGCATGTGTGGGGGTGACCCCAGAAAGGATCATTTGTTTCCAAATAAAGGCTGTGAATTACACTGCAAGGGCAAGACCAGTCTGCATGCAGGCTGGTGGTCATGATGAGGTAATCTAAGGGCACATAAAGAGCTGAGGGGAGAAGCCTGGGATGGGGATGTTAATGTAGCAGGGAAGGGGCTGAAGCAATAGCACAGCGGATAGGGCATTTGCCTTGCACGCAGCCAACCGGGGTTCGATTCCCAGCATCCCATATGGTCCCCCGAGCACCGCCAGGAGGAATTCCTGAGTGCATGAGCCAGGAGTAACCCCTGTGCATCGCTGGGTATGACCCAAAAAGAAAAATAAATAAATAATGTAGCAGGGAAGACAGAAATCAGAGCCTAATGTGGGAGAAACTGGAGATGAGGGAATGCAGCAGACTCAGCCTTGAAGACACCTGTGTTAACAATCATCTGTCCCGCTCAGCCTGCCAAGAAGCACCAACTAGGAAGAAAGGAGAAAAATAAGGAGGGCAGCAGAGCCACCAGGCCCTCAAAGGTGGAGGCTCTGAAAAATAAAAAAAGGTGAGGCTCTGATGATGGCTTCCCCAACAACAAGTAGCCTCTCATCAGGAGTGGGCAAGGGCTCTTAAAACCAGGGAGTTGAGGATGTCCAGGCTCTGCAGGACAGCTCTGCAGGCCAACTGTGCAGGCTCCAGGGAGACCAGGACTCAGCGAGTTTGGGAAGCCAGAAAGGTGGACCTGGTACCAGGAGCACTGTGCCTGCTGCATGGAGTCCAAGTCCAGCTTTGGGGAGACCCAGAAATGGTAGTCCTGGCTCCTGCTCCTTTTAAAAAAAAAAAAAAAAGGTCACACCTGGTGATGGTCAGGGGTAACTTCTGGCTGTGCTCTCAGGAATTACTCCTGGTGGTGCTCAGGGGACCATATGGGATGCTGAGGATCGAACCCAGGCCAGCCACATGCAAGTGGCCAACTTGCTCTGCTATCTGTTCAGCCCTAATCCTGCACCTCTTATGGATGGGCTGTGCCTCCTTCTAGACATCCATTCCCTCCAGGACCTCTGAGGAGGCAGAACAGAGCTATGAAGGCAAACCAGCAGGCTACTAGGGACTCTGGACCTTCTATACAGGCAGGCCTATTTGTAGAATCAAAGTCATGTTCTCACACCTTCATGCTGGGGCCCGGATGACAGCAAAGATAATGACCCTGCAAGGGCAGAGGTGTCCCTCCCGAGTGGAAGATCGGCTTGTCCACTAGAGGGCAGAGATGGACTGGTGGGAGGAGCACATCACTCAGAATCCCTCAAGGAAGGAAGCCAAGGCCTCTCTCCTTGAAACAGACCAGACAGACTGGCCCAGACCCGGGGATTGAGGCCATATTCCATAGTGCTCTGCTCCATTGCTCCCTGGTCTGAGAACTTCCTGAGCTGTTCCCTAAGACCGGTTGGAGAGTATAGGAGAGGCAGGTGGTGGTGGTTGGGGAACAGGGGCGTTAAGGGTGAGCCAAGGTACTGACTGGCCCTGGACCAGCTTCCAATTGCTTGTAGCAGCTCATTTATTTCTTGGCATGTGCACAAGGTTCAGGATGATGGAGCTGGGGCTGCGGGGAGGCTTCTGAGGATGACCTCCTCTAGCATGATTCTGTGGGTCTTGCAGCTGAATGTGGGCTGGCAGAAGCACGGCCACAACAAAAGGCTTGTAAACTGCCCAACCATCAAAAAGTTACACAATAGCTCATGGTGTTGAGGTATTGCCATTCAGCATTCCACGGGGAAAGGGGATAAGCGAGTGGGAAAAATCTAAGCTGCATTACTCCAGGTGCAACACCCCGGGAGCACGGGCACCACCCATTCTGCTGGGGTGCTGTGTGCATACCTGGAGAGTAGCTGGGCAGCAAGTCCCCTGAGGGAGAGGAGCCTCCACCCCGGAAATCGGGACCCCCGTGGCGAGAAGGCTCCTGTCCTGGGGTGCATTGGTAAGATGAGGAAGCTGACCTGCTCTGTGTCCACTAGCCTCGGCCCCCCTCCTCCCGGGCACCACCCTCTACCCGACTGCCATGAGAAAAGGGAGCACACAGGCGCCAGCCAGGAGCCGCGGGAGGGCTCTTGTCTCTTCTTCCGCGGTTAGGGTAGGTCGGTCGTCTGTCCTGGGACCAGGCTCCTCAGCAGCTCTCCTTGGGGGACTTCTTGACCCCGTGCAGAAGCCTGGCGGACGCGGACGCGCGCTTCTGATGTCGCCACTTGGCCCGACGGTTCTTGAACCAGACCTGGGGAGAAGCACGGCTCAGGCCCCGTCCCAAGCCGCCGGCCGCGGCGGCGGCGGACGAGGAGCGCGGGGCTCGAACCCTGCACCCTCCGTCCCTCCCGCGGCCGCAGAGCGGGACCCCGCTCCGCAGGCGCACCTTCCTACCCATCCACCCCGCGCCTTCCCCTTCCCACCGCCCCCGGTGCCCCATACCCTGCTCCCGCGCCCTCTTGGGCTTCCCGATTCTGCAACGCGGTTGTGCAACTCACTTAGCACAAAGCGGGGTGGGGTGCTTAAAACGAAGGGAACGAAAGCTAGCCTTGCCCCGTGCACTCCCCTGCACGTGCCGTCCCGGCTCGGCCCTCGCCGGGGCTGGCCCTGCGGCCCACGGCGGTCCCGAGGGCGTCCCCGACACCACAAAGGCGCAGAGAGCCCGAGCGCGCCGTCCCGCCCGCCCGGCAGGCCGCAGGGCACCCACCTCCACGCGCTCTTCGCGCAGGCGGATGCGGCCGGCCAGGCGCTCGCGCGTGCCCACGTCGGGGTACTGGTTCTGCACGAAGAGCGCCTCCAGCGCCTGCAGCTGCTCCTCGCTGAAGATGGTGCGGTGGCGCCGCGTGCGCCGCTGCGGGCCGGGCCCCCCGGCGCTGGGCAGCGCCCCGGAGCCGTCCGGCGGCGCCGCCAAGCGCAGGGGCGCGGCGGGTCCCAGCCTCAGCGGCCACGGCAGGCGCGAGCCTGCGGGGCGAGGTCGCGGTGAGGTGCGGGCGGCGCGGCGAGCCGAGCTCCGCACGCCCCGCGCCGCGCCCCGGAGCCCCCCGCGGCCCGCACGCACTCACCCAGCCCGGCGACCGGCTCCGGGGGCCCGCGGGGCGCGGCGCGAGGGCCGCAGCAGCAGCAGCAGGCGCAGGGCGCGGCCTCCGGCGTCCCCGGCTCGCCGGGCTGCGCGGGGCTCGGGCGGCCGGCGGGCTGCGGCGGTCGCGCGGCGCGGGCCGGGGGGCTCCGCTCTGGCCGGCTGGAGAGAATGTGCTCGATGGAAAAGGGGCAGGGCCGCCCGGGGCCCCTGCGGCTCGCTGCGCCCCCCGCCGCCGCCATGCCCTGCCTGGCTCCCCGCCGCCACGGCGGGAACATTATATACGTCGGGGGGCGCGCGCCGTAATCCCCCGGCCGGGCGCCGAGTCCACGCGGGCTAATCCCGCCGTGCCGGCCCGGAGCGCGCTAATCCCCGGCTGCGGCGCCAAATCCGGCTCCGCATCGACACGCGGGGGCCGGCCGGGCAGCGGGGAGGGGGCGCGCGGGAAGCCCCGGGCCCCGCGCGCGTCCTCCCGTCGGAGAAGGCTGCAGAAAGCACCGCTGGGAGACGCCGGGAAGGGACGGAGGGCGCCGCGCACTGCCGGGGTTCTCTGGGACAGCGGCCGGAGGGCGTCGCGACCCCGGAGCGCCCCGGACCAGGCGCCCATAGCCTCATCCTGTAACCTCCTTGGCCTGGACCGGCGGTTCATGCCGCCGTCCCCTCTCCCTGCAGTTGGGTGGGCAAATCTTGAGAAACCCACCCTGGCATCTCCCGAACTCCAACCAGGGCGCGCCATCAGCAAACCTGCGATTGCACCGCACCTGGTCCCCCAACGATTCGGTCAGTTTGGAGACCAGGAATCAATCTCCTGGGAGAAATCAGGCTGCAAACTGATCTCAGCCTGCAACCAGTTGCCCCACGAGGGCTGTTTAGAACCTCTTTGGGCTCCTTTGCCGACTCACTTTGCCATCCCTTTGTTTGTTTGTTTATTTGTCTGTTTGTTTTAGTGCCAAACCTGGACGTGTTCAAGAAGACCGTGTGATTTGGGGCATCAAAACTGGGCCGCCAGGCTAGAGAGATAGTACAGCGTGCAGGGCACTTTCCTTACATGGAATTGCCCCAGGTCCTATTCCCAGTACCCCATATGTCCCAGGAGTCCCACCAAGAGTGATTTCTGAGCACAGAGCCATGAGTGATTCCTTAAAGCAGAGCCAGGAGTCAGCCATGAGCACTGCCAAGTGTAGCCCTGTGACAAACAAAATTAAACAAAAAAGCCCACAACAAAAACCCTGGACTCTCAAACCTCACAGCATGTGCTATCTTGGCACGGCCCAGAGGAGACATTTTGAAGTGTGAGACCTTGTTGTTGCCACCCTCCTTGGCGTCAGATTTGTCAGCTGGAGGTCTGACTGCAGGTTGGCTGCTCTAGCCCTACACTGTGAGCTGTGTTGCTCTCCCAGTCTGTATCCTTCACCTCATGGAACTGCATGCTCATGGTGAGAGCCAAAAGATGTAGTCTGGGTCATGGTTCAAAGGGCTGGAGCATGTGCAGAGCACTGGGTTTCAGTCCCAGCATCCCATGGTCCTTCAGCACTGCCATGAGGAGCCTCCACCACCCCAAAAGAGCCCACCCGAACATTTAGGAGATAGCTCAAAGGGCTGGAGCATAGGTTTTGCACGTAGGAGACCTAAGTTTGATCCCTAGTACTCCATGGTCCCCAAGCAGAGTGCTGGGAGTAGTCCCTGAGCCCCCAAATCAAATAAAAAGTTAAATATCCAGGACTGAAAGATGGTTCATACATTGCATTACATTGTTCCCCAGGTGTACTCCATCTAGTACTGCTGGGCATGACCCCTAAAACAAGAAAACCAAGTCGACCCACACTTGCCACGTGGGTCAGCAGTTACATCTGTGATGCGCCTCGCTTCTGCTCACATAAAGCATCTCCACTCCTTAGCCCATCAGCTGCTTTGTGGCACAGTGACACCACTCAGTGTCCTGGTGGCTCTCAGTGACCTGCTGCGAGGGAAAGGGGACAGTCTCCAAAGCCTGCCTGAGTCAAGAGTCCACTAATCTGGCATTTTCCAATGGCAACCAGGGTGTTAGGAGTCTGGGGAGTGTGTGAGGCGGGAGAGGAGGGAGGCCCTGGGGTGTGGACCCACTTTGAGTGGGGTCAGGGTACCCCGCCCCTCGTGCTAAGGGCAGTTTTCCCAACACTGCCTTATGCAGCCTGCTCACCTTTCACAGCCCTCAGGCCTCTGACGGGACACTATTTCTGTGCCCGTGGAGATGAAAGAGGAAAGTATGCGGGCTGAGGGTGGCTTCTCTACTTAGGGCTGTATCTGGGGGCGAAGGTGGCTCAGCCACAGAACTTCCCTTGCATGTGTGACGTCCTCGGTTCAATCCTGGCACCACATGTACACACACAACTCTAGCCAGTTACTGCCTATTCCTTCTTCTCCCCACCCTTTCAAGATCCACCTCTCCCAAGAACTGCTTGCGCCTCTGAAGGGCTGGTGGGGAAGGTATCAGCCCTCCTCCAGCTGACGTGACTCTAACGTATGATGAATGTGACAGAGGGGTAGAGGGGAACATCAGAATATCCAGTTGCCGCAGTCCCAGGATCTGAGTCAGGGTATGCCTGCTGGCAGTATGGGGACCCGTTTACTCGCTGGCAGGTGATTAGACAGCATTCTAGTGTCCGTTGTGTGTGACTCCTACCATGTCCCTGATGAGGGGCCCCTCTCTGGGAACCAGACCCTAGTCCAGGGTAGGAAGGCAGATTTCCCAGTGCAGTGCAGGGAGTACTGGAGAACATTCCAGACTCGTGTGTTCTACCAACTGGAATTGAATGGTACACTGTGGCACACTGGCTCTCTACCTTTAACCTGCTTCCTTGTCTACAAACATCTGGTGTTTGCTCTACCAGAGTCCCAGAACCAGCCAGCTCGACTGTTTACCGCAGCCCTGGGGTCCTTATGTTGCACATGGATCTGAGGAGCACTGGGTTCTTGAGGACATCAAGTAAGAATATAACATCCACCACCAATTGTCTTCAGCTCTTTATGTGGACATAGGTACACCTCTTCAGGCTGGCTCTAGGAACTGGCAGCAGTTGTAATAGTATTTTCTTCCAAGTACCCACTACAACCACAATAGCCCCCACAAAGAGACCTGAGCCTATAGATTTCTTTTTTCCTTTTTTTTTTTTTTTTGCTTTTTGGGTCACACCCGGTGATGCACAGGGGTTACTTCTGGCTCTGCACTCAGGAATTACACCTGGCAGTGCTCAGGGGACCATATGGGATGCTGGGAATTGAACCCGGGTCAGCTGCATGCAAGGCAAATGCACTACCCACTGTGCTATCTCTCTGCAGCGGGGGGAGGGGGGGCGCTAACCACTCTCCGGCCCACAGAGGTGGCCTGAGGATTGATCCGATGGTGCAAGGAGGGACCAACCGAATGAACACAAGACACCAGAGACAGAGTACAGTTTAGAAACAGAGAGAAAAAGGGACAGACTTTATTGAGGGATACAGGCTGTTTATATAGGGTCTGGGATAGCCCAGTCACAAGCAGAAGCAATATAACCATACATGGTAAGGTTAGCAACAAGAGTTTTACATAGAATTCAAGGATATATAAACATTTGTATATCAAAAGGTGTTATGGTAGTAGATGCATCCTGAGCTTTGCATTTGTATATCTAAGGGTCTTATGGCAGTAGATGCATCCTGGAGGTCACTATAGATAAGGCCAGATAAGATAACTGTCAGCCTGATGTATGTGGCTATAGATCAGGCATTCACTGAGGTCAAGAAGTCCTAGGAGACTGTCACCAATGTCTGTCCTAAGCAGTTCCTAACATGGGAACCAAGGCCAGGGTCTATGAGAGGGCTCTTGGCTTCCCACATCTCTCCAGCCCCCTGAGCCTATAGATTTCAGTGTATCTCTTAGCCATTTCTATCATCTGATTGGCTACACCCTGTGTAAGTTATGGTCTATGGAACTGACCAAGCAGATTATATATATAAATGAGGGACCAACTGGAGATCTTGACTCTGGTGCATCCCTTCCTCCCTCCCTCCCTCCCTCCCTCCCTCCCTCTCTAACACTTGGCCCCTTTTCCTACCCTTCTCTCCCTACACAGCACAGTGTCCCTTAGAAGTCTTCTTCCAGGGGACTGGAGAGATAGCAGAGCGGGTAGAGCATTTGCCTTGCACGTGGCCGACCCGGGTTCGATTCCCAGCATCCCATATGGTTCCCTGAGCACTGCCAGGAGTGATTCCTGAGTGCAGAGCCAGGAGTGGCCCCTGTGCATCGCCAGGTGTGACCCAAAAAGAAAAAAAAAGTCTTCTTCCAGGGGCAGTTCCCTGTGAGCCACCTGAGATATCATAGATCAAGGCCATGTGGGGTGACCATCCCTTCTGTTATTTAATTGTGCCCTCTGGATCTGACAAGACCACTTCCATTCTGTGATAGCACCTTTCAACTTGGTGACAGTTAGCCTAAGGTGAGAACCCAGTTCTTGCCAGAGCTCGGGCACATGCCAGGAACTGTTTTGTAACTCCAGAAACGTTTGCCCTGCAATAATATCACTGTATCTTACCTTAGGTACCCTGGGAAATCTTTCTTGCCATAGGATTTGCTACAAGCTCTGCCAAGCCTTTGGTCCACATGCAGGACTGTTCGTGGCAGTGCCTGGACCTGCCACAAATGCCTTTTATGTTCTGGCATGTTGGAGTGCCCCCTTCAGAGGCTCAAGGCACTCTTTCCAAGGGCAGAACCCTCAGCCTCCCAAATTCTTGAAACCTTCCTAGAGTGCTTTTTGTTTGTCTGTTTGAATAGGGACACAAGATTGACCTCGTGGTGCTTAGGGGCCACCAGCACTACACCCAGTGATGCTGGGGCCGGCAGTGGGGAAGCAGGGCACTGTGAGTGCTTACACCCGTGCGGCTCATGCAGGCGAGGCAGGCATTCCATCACTGAGCCACATCCCCAGGCCTACCTGTTCTTTTTAATTTTTGTGGAAGGCCACACCTAATACCGCTGGGGACCAGGGCAGTTGGGGGAAGTGATCCTGGTGATGCTCAGGGTATCATGCCCGGTTAGGACCGAACCTGAGTCTCCTGCTTACAAGGCATGAGCTCCATGCATTGTGCAAGCTCTCTGACATTACTTGTTCTCTTTTTATTATTGGGTGGTGAGAAGTATTTATTTAAGATACAAGTCTTTATGTATAATTTGCAAGTATTTTCTTCTATTTAATATAAACTTTCTTTTTCTTTTATTCTTTTTTCACTTTTTGCAGGTGGTGGTGGGTGTTTAGGGCAAGCTGTGGGTGCTCAGGGG